CGGGACCTTGGAAGGTCTGTGTGCCACTTTGGAGACTCCCGCTGTCGTCTGTGCTGGGGCAAGTGTAGAGGAACTGCAGACAGCCGCAGGAGCCACCATCCTCTGCTGGATGCTATGGATCCATCGCAGCCCTCCTGCTTGCTGAGCGAGGCTGTGGCCTCAAAATCTTCCCCATGCACTGCTGCTGGCTGTCACAGCCCGTCCATCGGGGTGACAAGACAACCAGGTCTCTGACCCATCCTATGGGAAAATCATGCTATTTTCCCCCACAATGAATGTTTTGTCTGTTTATCAATTCAAAGCATGTTCAGATAAAAGAGACTTTAGTTGTTCTAAGAAATTGTAGGTGGGATAACAGGCTTCAGAATCTTGCTGGGAGGTCCCGGGTCTGGTTATGATCCACATCTTGGTCAGACATGGTGTCCCCACAGCAGTGGGTGACAGTGGTGTGAGATGTGTGTGCATCTCTGAGGGAAGAGATGGCTGAGCGACAGCAGCTGTGACAGACCTTTCTGTGCAAATGTGAGCAGAATGGTGGTCAGGAGAGGGGGCTCTGAAGGGATAGATGGTTCACTACAGAGCACTTTCCATTGTCTTACAGACAGTGGAGAGAACAAAGGCTTTACATATTTCTTTGCAATCCTAGAGCAGTGTTTATTGGAGCAGGTGGAGGAAATTTCTAGAAGCCACCTGAAACCTTCCAGTGGCTGAGGAAAGAGTTTGGCTGTGAAGAGTCTCACCTGTGTAGGCACCAGGTGAGAGGGTGGTGGAGCATTAGCAGCTGTATGGACCACGACCTGGGAGGGCCTGAGTTCAGGTCATGCAGTGAATAATAGCAGGAGCTGGAACTTGAGGCTGTCTGGCTTTGGCGTCTGAATTCTGTTCCCTACACCAGGTACCTGGGCCATATCTAAAATGCCTCATGCTATCTTGCTCTTCTTTGGTGCTGAGGTCCCTTAGGAGCTTGTGAGTGAATGAAACTGGTGTTTTGTGGAGCTGGTATTTGCAACTGTCTGTTCTTTACTGAGTCCTTGTCCGGCTGTCCCAACTGCTTGCGTTGCCTTGAATGTGGCCTTGGACGTGTAGGGCTCTGGGCCCTGATCATGACCGGCAGTGCCTTGCCCATACTCTTGCCTAGTGAAAACTTTGTCAGTGCTACAAGGCTGGTAAAGCTCTCTGGGGACACTTTTGCAGTTCCCCTCAGCAGAGATGTCCCCCTTTCTGGGTCTTCATCCAACTCCCAGGGGCCGGGACGGAGGCTTATTCATTAGGCCCTGGGGCTGAGGACAGCACTGTTCATGCCATCAGGAATTCAGCCAAGCAGAGCTGAGTTCAGTTGATCTTGCTGTGTCCTGGGTGAATCTGGGCCCTTGGGAGTTTACTTAGGGACCTCACTATCTTAACTTGTTTGGGAACCTTGGAGTATCCTGGGATAAAATCTGTTACTGACATCTTTATGGTGTCACCTGTCACTCGGGGGTAGAGAAATGAACCTGACACAGCAAGGCTGGCTCTCCCCAGCGCTTCGTTGGTGGCTCTTGCCCATCCTGCAGTCAGACAGTGTCCCTCTCCTCTGGCCCCAGCTCCTGGGTGGTGGAGAACAGCAGGATGCTGCTCTGGAAGGTATTTTTCCTTTTTAAAAAGCACAAATATTGTGGTTTCCATTTTAAAAGCCTGGGAGCAGGCTGACTTTGTGATGCTGGCTGTGATGCCCTCAGGCTGGCTCTGTGGCGCCTGTCAGCACCCCTGGATCCATCATTTGTCCTCGCCTGGCTGGGGACAGCTTTTGGCACCATCTTTCCTTGCAGCTTCCTTTGGATGAGATATCTGCTTCCTAAGCTGCTGCTTTCTAGCGAGCTGATTCCATCTTTAAGTGTTGGTTGGTTTGGAGGATGGTTTATTTCAGATTGTTAAATTTGATTGGACTTCACTTTTACTGTTATGTATACTTAGCAGTTTAAGTGAGTTTTGAAAAAAATTTTTAAAAGCCCACTTCAATCTATTTTACAACAAGGTGTGTGACTAATTAATGCTCCTCAGTGCACCGTGAAACTCGCAAGGCACCACATAAACATGTTTTCTGCTTGAAACTGTTTTAGTAAATTGAACATCTGTATTACAGGAACACAGTCTATTAGTAAACTGAACATCTTCTTTTGGTTCACCTTGTTAAGCAGGAAAGTAATCCTTATGGCTTCATAAAGCTCATGTAAGTGCATGTAGGTGCCATTTTAGAAATGAATTACATAAATGAATAAAGGAAGGCAGGTGTCAAGCATTTAATTGGCCCTGCTTTCCCAGCTGGCTCTGTGAGACTTAGAACCACTGTCACAGATGATAATTTACTGATACGAAGCTGACACAGTAGGTTAGATGCTGTTGATTTTTGGAGAGGAGCAGCTGACTGCAGGTATGGTGAATACCTGCCTCACACCTTGTAGTCTGGTATTCTCAGAATTTTCCTACTAATGCTTCTCAAACATCAGAGCGGAATATGGATGCAGGCTGTAGTCCCTTACCTGGAGTGGCCCACAAAATTTGCTTGAAGTCTCAAACCTTATACCAAATGTTCCAGTGACCTTTACTTTTTTCTCCAATTTTTTCATTTTATGGGAAAACCCCCATAAAAATAAGAGAATATCAATAATTATGCATTGTGTATCATTATCTTCAAAGTAGTTACCCACAGACAAAGACAAGTCTCTTACAAAGAAGCAGATAACAGCGTAAAACTTTCTTTTCAGTGAACTAAGAGGAACTAGAAGCATGAATGAAACAAATCAACTTTGGTTTTGACACCATACTGATATTTTCCTGTAGATCTTCCTCTAAAAAGGATTAATTGGGAAGATACATCTTATAATTCCAGAACCCCAGGCTCAGATACCTGGCTTGAGAGGTAGATCTCAAGCATGATCTTAAAGAAGCGTTTAAAAAGGCACTGAAAAATGATCTCAGTAACTTTGGTGTTTAAAATGCAATTCTCAAACAAGGAAAGAGAGTTGCTGAGCTGAGAGAATGAGGCAGAGGCCACGGTGGGACTGGCTTTGGCAGTGACACTGAGGAGGGATGGAGAAGTGGGAGAGACTGAGGCAGGAGGACACATGAGGGGCTGAGGAGATGATCCCAAGGTAGCAGAAGGAATTGGTGGGATGTGGTGACTGCAGCATAAGAAAGGGAGGATAAGAGGAGGAGGATGAAGAGGGGGGAATCAGCTTCAGCTCACTGACTGGAAGACACTGAGCACCTCCCTGTGCCAGCCGTGTACCTGGTGTTCTAAACCAGAACTGGAGCTAAGCCAGCTCCCCTTGCTGACTTGGGAAGTTGTGGTGGGGAATCTGGAGATTTGGCTGGCTGCACCCAAAGCCTGAACTTCTGAGCAGCAGGACTCATGTTCAGACGCCATCCAAGGGATGTTCTGAGGCAGAACCAATGGGGCTGAGGGATGCCAGAGAGTGTGTTATGATTTATGCCTAAAATGTCCCTTGAAGCCTCATGCACTCCCAGGTGGAGCTTGTGGGAGTGACTGGATTATGTGTGTATGATACTGGATCACAGATGTGATAACTGGGTCAGTGCACTGATTGCTTTAGTTTTGCATAGTTCTGGGTATAGCTGAATGGATTTACTGAAGACAGAAGGCCCATCCTGGGTCTGAGTGGCACCAGCCAATAAGCTTGTAGCCTGAATGGAAGAAAAAGGAAAAGGGAGCCTGCTGCTTTTTTCTGCCTGCGCTGCCATGGACTGTTTCTCCTCTGTGATGTCCCTCTGTCTGCCACCCTGCCTTGGAATCAGCTGACTATGAACTAAAGCCTCTATAAACTGTGAGCTGAAATAAACCTCTCCTTCTTTAATTTGTGAGTGTTAGACATTTTTTCCCAGCAGTGAGGAAGTAACTAGGACAGAATGGAAGGAAGAGAATCGTCTCTTCCATTCTGCTCCTATGAATTTTAACCCCAGAGCTTCCTTATCCACAGACACCTCCACCACCCTGCAAGGGCTCCATCATTCCTAAGAGAAGACCTGGCCTCTTGCACAGCACACTGGATTTAGAGACCAGTGTCTCAGGGCTGGAGCCCACTGTGCCCCTTCTGGCTGGTTGCCTTCATGTTACTTACCGTTCTGAATTTCATTGCCCTCCTCAGAAAAATGTTAATGATAGTTTCATTGTAAGAATGGGAGAAAATCATGTAAAACAAGGCAGCCTGAGATCAGTGTCAAGAGAATGCTCTGTACACAGGAATTAAGTGGTTTCACTTAATTAAGTGGGTTCACTTAATTCCCTAATACTGGATTTCATTAAATCTAGGGAGTTCCAAATTGTGGCAAATACTGGACCTTGATAAATGTTGTAACATGAAAAAATTGTAATTACTTTTTGCCTTTTTCTGTATTTTTTTATATCCTGTTTTTCTCAGCAACACTGGAATATATCTCGTTTTGGAGCCAAACATGGGCTTCCTACTGTGACCATTAATCCTGATGTGTCAACTTCAGTGGTTTGAGAACTGCCCAGCAAATTAGTGAAACATGCTCCTGGGTGTAACTGGGTGGCTTATGGAGCTGTGGTCCTGGTGCTGTGCTATATCTGGTCCCTTGCCTGTCCCTCTCTAGTGCTGCTCCCTTGCTCTGCTTCTTGGCTGCCATGATGTGAGCAGCGTTACTCCATTACGCTCTGTCACTATCATGTTCCTCCCTTTGGGCCAGCCAACTATGGACTGAAGAATTCAACCTCGCCTTCTTTAAGTTGGGGGAAAGCACAGATATTCTGTGTCAGCTACAAGAAAGCTGAGTGATACACCTGTGGAACATCTGTGACATCCCCTGAGAAATGGCCACTTTATGTCCTGGTCATTGATCTTAAAAAGTCAAACTAAAAGTGTCACCTACTATACCTACAAAGGTCCCTTTGCACCTTATCAGTGGCTCTGTGCTGTCTCACCTATCCCCTCTGATGAGTTTGCTGGGTGTACATCGTTTTCTCTCTGTTTTTTCCTTAGTCGTAGCTGTTTACTTGAAGGAATCCTGGTGGTCCTTGGAAGATGTGCTCAGAACCTCTGACCCTGCAAGAGAAGGCCTTAGGAAGGTGAGGCAATGTGATTTGAAGGGAACATTTGCAAAACAGATTTTCATCCATTGTACTTATTATCCTGTTAATAACTTCAAAGGGTCTGCTCTACTTCTGAGTATCTTTTCCCAGGGCTGCCATCAGAGTGGGTGGTTTAAACAAGCAGATCCTTGTCTCATAGCTCTGCAGGCTGGAGTCTAAAGTCAGGTTCACTGTGTCTTTTTTTGAGGGCTGAGAATGAGAATGTGTCCCGAACTGCCTGCCTGCTTCTGGTCATCCTTGTCATTGCTTCTGGTTACCCGAGGTGGCTTCTCCCTGGAGGCACATCTGGCTGTATTGAAATTCTCCCTTTTTATAAGGATACCAGACACACTTGGGTTAGGGAGCAACCTAATAGTCAAACCTGGGCTTGATCAACTGTAAAATCCCATTTCCAAATAGAGTCACATTCGGGGGTACTGGGGGCTGGGATAGCAACATCCTTTGTGGAGACACATTAATCCACAACACCCTGCAAGCAAGGGAAGCAGTAACATCTGCCTACACTTAGCAGGTACTCTGCCGTGGTGCCTGTATTTTACCTGCCTGAGTAGCTTGGCAGTGTTACTCTGCACTCTCTGTTGTGTGGGAAAGCTCTGCCTCGAGTATGCTGGCAGTGTTTATTGGCATGAGATTCTGTCCCATACATGACCTCAGACTCTTTACAGAGCTTACCTAATTCCACAATCTTCAAGGTGTTTGTTTTGCACATGAAGAAGCTGAAGCTGAGTCATGCAGCTTGCAAGTGGCTTAGCTGGGTCCAAACATCTCTGAGCTCAAGCCTAGCATCTTTGAAGCACTGTCGTTTTACAGAGCACTTGTAAAACAGAGATCTGGGATGGTGAGGGTAAAGGTAGGTACAGCAGCAGCTCTTTAAAGGTCCAACATCCTCTTGGCTGAACATTGGCTGGGCAGAGTCTAAGGAGGGATGTAGGTACCAGCCAGGAAGTGATGTCTGCCTCACATCTGCCGTTTCATCTCATTCATGTATTTCTATTAATTCTCTAGCTGGGAATTAAAGATGGGGCTTTTCCGCAGCCTTGAATTGGTTTTCGAGAATGCCACTTGGCCCATTTCACAGGGTCCAGTAGATTCTGAATGGAAAATCAGCATTTATTCAGGGTTAGTTTGGAGAAGTTTGTGATCCAGGTTCTTCTATAAACTGAACAATGTTTAGTTCTATTTCCACCCGGCAAACCAACACTGGGGATCGAAGCCAGGGCCTTGTGCCTTCTAGGTAAGCACTCTACCACAGAGTCACACCCCCAATCCTTTTGTAAATTTTATTTATTTATTTGTGATGCTGGAGGTTGAGCCCAGGGCCTTTGCACTGAGCTACATCCTCAGACCTTTTTTATTTTTTATTTTGAGACTAGAATCTTTCTAAGTCACCAAGTTACACAGGCTGGACTGGAGCTGAGGTCCTTCCTCCAGCCTCGTTCATACAAAGTACAAATTTTATTTGTGAGACAGTGTCTTGCTAAGTTGCCTGGGTTGGCTTTGAGCTTGTGATCCTTCTGCCTCAGCCTTCCAAGTAGGGATTATAGGCATGTGCCACCATACTTGGCCAGTTCCATTTTTAAAGCAACAGTTTTATAGAGATGTAATTCACGCACCATAAATTTCATTGTTTTAAACAGTACAATTTGGTGACTTTTGGTGTATTCACAGAGGTGAATATCCATCACCACCACTTCCAGAACATTTTCATCACTCCAAAAGGAAACCCTGTACTTATTAGCAGATATCTCTCATTCTTCTCTTCCTCCAGGCCTGGAAACACTAATTGACTTTAAACAACTCTTACTGAGTTGTCCATTCTGGGCATTCCATTTAAGTGGAATCTCATGTGTAGCTTTTTGTGACCAACTTCTTTACATAGCATAGTTTTTGTTGTGTGTTTGTGTGTGTTTTTGGTACCAGGGATCGAACTCGGGTCCTTGTGCTTGCAAGGCAGGCTGCGGAACCACTGAGCTAAATCCCCAGCCCCAGAGCATAGTTTTTGAAGGGTCATCCACACTATAACATGTATTGAGTGCTTCATTACGTTTTTGGCTGAATAATGGTCCACTGTGTGCATGTATTGCATTTTGTTTATCCATTTATTAGTTGATGGACGTTTGAGTTGTTTCCACTTTTTACCTATTATGAATATGGTTCTATGAGCATTTACATGTAGTTTTTTTGGGGCCTATGTTTCCAGTTTTCCTGGCTATATACCTAGGAATGGAATTGCTAGTCCTATGGCAACTCTGTATTTCACATTTTGAGAGCCCGCCAAAGTGTCTTGCACAGCAGTTGCACTATTTTACTGTCTCACCAGCACTTACTGTTGTCTGTTATTTTTGTGTTCTCTATCCTCGTGGGTGTGAAGTGGTATCTCATTGATATTTGGGTTTGAATTTCCCTAGTGGCTAAGAATTTTGACCACCTTTTCATGTGTTCATTGGCTCTTTATAAATACTCTTGGGGAAAATGTTTATTATAATCTTTGACCCACTTTTAAATTGGATTGTTTGACTTTGGATTATAAGAATTTTGCATATATTCTAGATGCAACTCCTTTAAATGATTTGCAAATACCTTTCCCCATTCTTTGGGTTGTATTTTTTGGGTCTGGTCTTAACTGACCCCATAGGTGTTATTTTGCAAAGACTTTTCCCCCCACGCAAGTTAAGAGTGACTTGAGATTCACAAAGGAGCATGAAGCACACAGCAGCCTAGGAGGTACCTGGATGTGTTGCTGTCCCAGCTCCTTTGTCACAGGTAGATCAGGTGGCTATTTAACGACTGATTGTTCTGAATGCTAGGCAGAATCTGATTTACTTTTTATATAAAAGGTTTGACAACAAGAGTTTGCTTATTTCATTTGTCATCTCTTCTAAGTGTAATGAGAAACACCCTTCCTTCTCCCCAGTTTCTGCAGATGTGGCCTAAATTATGAAGGAAAAGAAACTTGAACATTACTTTCATTAAATGAAACATGTTGTAAAAATCTACCCTACCTTCACTGTACATCGGGATATTTCATTTGTAGAACTTTGTCTTTACTGTTTTTCTTTTAATCACATTTTGTTTCTTAGCCAGTTATTCTTCACAAATTACCAAAAAAAATCTTTCTTACTGTTCTGTTAACATAATTAGTGGTCGTAATAAAGGATTATAACTGGATATAAGTTTTATGTTTTTAGAAACGGTTCTAAGTCAAAATCACATGCCACACATTTTCCTCCCTGTAATGAAATTGGGCAAATTAAATGCATTTTCTTTTTCTCCTTTTTCTCTTGCCAGTTTTTGATTGGATATTTCCCTCCTGCCAGATGCAATCTGCTTTTCTCTTCTAGCTTTCCTATGAACCTTTTGGTTTTATAAGTTGAAAAATAGAACCTCCCACATTACACCGATCAGGTTTTGAGACTTGCTAGTTATTCTTAAAGTCTGAGCTGGCTTTGGCTGCCACTGTCTGAGAGACAAAATGTGGCAGCTTCACAGGCTGAGCTGGTTAGATTTTCACAAATCTTTTTCTCGTTTAAAATTTGGCTCTGGATGAAGGTGAAATATTTTACATTCTAAGCCAATTAATAAGTTTACTGGCACTGAACACTTTGTACCATTTGCTAGGGTGCTGTGAGCTGTCTTATTTTTATAATCAGAGCATTTGCAATAGAGACAAAAGTTTTAGAGGTCACATGAGTGAAGTCTTTAACCATCACCTGAGGAAACCGAAATTCAAAGAGTGTGTGCAGCTGAACATCTCCCAGCAAATCCAGGCTAAGAGCCCACAGTTGTAAAGGACAATGATGATGATGATTGATGATGATGATGGTGATGGCTTAAGGGTCAAGTATTAAATATGAAATCAAGCATTAGTGTTTGCTTTAAACCAAGTCCCAGTTCTGATGGAGAGGATGCAAAAGGGAATTGATTGCTGGCTGCTCTAGAGGTACACTGGCTGGGGCCTCAGAAGCCCTGCCTGTAGTTCCCCACCTGCTTCTGACAGAGACCTTTCCAGATGTCTCAAGTCCCCCTTGGAACAAGACAGGGACATCAATAAATGTAATCACTTACCGTCTTTGAACTTCAATTTCTTCATCTGTAAACCAAGATGTTCCCAGCGGGTAGTGAGAACCAAATAGTACCATGTAGGTGGAAGGCATAGCTCAGTTAACAGTGTGGCTGACATGGGGGTCATGCACATGTGCGCGCACACACACACACACACACACACACACACACACACACATACGCACACACACCTGCCTCACAGCATTCAGGCTGTCTGTCACAATGCAGCATAGTAGGAGTAAAATCCAACATAACAAACAGATGATTGGTTGCATCTAGGGTGGCACATTTTAGCAGATTCTTGTGGCTGTTTGGGGGGCTGCATTTAGGATTATGAGACTACACTGTTCTAGTTTTGATCTGAGATGTCCTCCAGTGGACCTGTGTATTACATCCTTGGTAAACCAGCCTCTGGTGCACTTGGAAAGTGGTAGAACCTTTGTGAGACCCAGTGGGAGGAAGTTAGGTCATCAGGTATATTGAAGGGAAGATCGACACCCCACTCTCTTCTTGACTCCGCTTCCTACCAGTCTTGTAGTGAGCAGGCTTTCTCTGTCATGTGCTTTGGCCATGATGAGTGAGCTGACACAGGCCTAAAGCAACAGGCCTACTTACCATGGATTGAAACCTCTGAAACTATAAGCCAAAGTAAATCTTTCCTCTTTTTAAGTTGATTTTTTTCTCAGGTATTTTGATTTTTCAGTGATTGAAAGCTTGCTAACATCCAGGCATAGCCACACAGTGAGAAAAGGAACAGGAGGCTCTGATTGTGGCCATATATTTGCCATCTCTGGGCTATAAAAATGCAGAGAATTTTAACAGACATGAACATGAAGTCATTTCTCCATGAAGGAGAAATCTTCCGACTCTGTGGTCCTGACTTTGACCACAGTTCAATTTCCTTATTTGTGATGACTTTGATATGGGCAAGACAGTTCTATTTTTTAGCCTAGAATGGGATGGTCCTTGGGTCTCAGTAATTCTCTGGGTTGAGACTCCAATTTATGTTTGCAATCTGTCACAAGCTATCGAAAATCAGTTGCTATTGATGTAGCAAATAATCCCCCCCAATTATTTTTCCTCCTCCAAGGAGCACAGTTCTGGAGCTAACACCCTGCTGTTCTTAAAAATGGCAGACTGGGTTTATTTCAGGACATATTCAGCAAATCTGCTGAAATGGCTTACCAGGGCTGCCCTTGAGATAGCATCCTGTTTCATTTGCCTATGATTAATTGTGCTTTGTCAACCTAATTCTACATCTATGTCCCTGGAGGCTGAGGAACACCTCCAGCATTGTCACCAGCTCCTGGAGGCCATACTGGTGCAATAGTTCAGTGGTATGAAAACATCTGTGAGGGCTGGGGATTTAGCTTAATGGTTCTGATGCCTTGCAAGTGCAAGGACTTGAGTTTGATCCCTGGTACAAAAAAAAAAAAATCTGTGAGAAGCAATGATTTACTTTCTGGTTCCTGAGCACAAAAACAATCCTACGACTGGTACATATACTTGGCCCCAATTTGTTGGTCAATTCCAAGTGCAAAATTTATCACATGTGATTTTCTTCTCAGGTCTCACTTGGTGGCTGTTCTTTCTTTCTTTCTTTTTCTTCAAAGGTTCAGTCCTTTGGGGAAAGGATTGTACTTTTCATTCTGAATGTCATTATTTTTGGAAGATTGGAGAGAAAGTTGGATGATGATGATATGTTTTTTTTACCTCACTCTGTGAAGGAGCAAGCTAAAATTCTGTGGAAAAATGGAGCAGCCGTTGGATTTTATACAGTCAAATTGAAAGGTAAGGACACGTCGAAACTTGGGGCAACCACTCTCTCGGGCTCTTGGTGGGGGATGAGGATTCTTAATGTCTGCCTGTCTTGGAAGATCCCCTTAGTATGAGTATTACACGGAGAACATCTTCTGGCGCAGGAAGTATCCCTAACTACGCTGTTGTGTAAATAAACCCAAGGTATGGATTTCATTTGCACTCCATTTCTTGTCTCATTGGTAACCAGGCTGAAAAGTACATCTGTTTGACTCCTAGGTAGTGCCATGTCCCCTTTAAAATACTTGTGATAGTTAAAGGGGTACAGTGGCTTTGGAAGCATGAAGCTTTTCCATTTCTTTTCTTTAATATTACCAATTAGCTTTCAAGAAAAAATACCATTGCTAATAGGTGACATGTGGAGCAGAAAAACACACGGTATGCCAAGATTGTTGCAGACATTACCTCAGAAGAAGGGAAGTCCGGCCATGATAACAAGGTTAGGCTAAGTGACTGTGACTTATTTTGAGGGGTAGTGACATGCTGTCAGTGTGGAATAAATACTGTTCCTCTGAAGGATGGGTTTCTTCTTTGAAAATGTTTTCTTTAATAGTTTCTTCAACTTTTTTTTGTACCAGGGATCGAACTCAGATCCTTGTGCTTGCGAGGCAGTTGCCAGAACCACTGAGCTAAATCCCCAGCCCTGTTTCTTCAACTTTTAATAGCTGTCGACATTGCTAAAACCAGCTTTTCCCAGCACCAGCTTTTGGTTCTTACAAAGTTGTCGATTTTAGTAAAAAATTAATTTTCTCAGAAAATTGGCATACATGTGCTATTGTTGGAGTTGAGTGTTTTTTCTGGGTGAATAAAAAGGCTGATTTTGATTGAGCCCTGTTCACATTGTATATATGGTCTGCCTGTCTAGGATGGAATAAATCTGCCTACTCTTTCTCTCATATCAGGGAGATCTGACCAGCTTTCCACCTAAACAGCTCCTTCGTTTGTTAGTTAAATGTTTGTCAAGGTCAGTAATGGGTTGTAGCACATGGGTCTTTCTATAGCTTTCCTCATGATAGTCACTGGGCCCTGGATTCTGATGAACAACTTCACTTTTTCAAGCAGTCATGGTCTTAGTTGTTTAAAATTTTTATTTTATTTTATTTGCATTGCTGGGGACTGAACCCAGGGCCTCACACATTCAAAGCAAGTGCTATACCACTGAGCTCCACCCGAGACCAGTGTTAATTTTAGATAGGGACCAATGGACCTGAAGAATAATTAAAATGGAAGAGAATCTTTGTGTACTTCTTCCTCCCTGGGAGACTTATTAATGATCATTTTTCTACCAAATAAATGATTTTAAATCTGTACGAGGATCATTTATAGCACAGACATCCTGCTAGAAGTACCAAAAACTGTTAACACATTCCAGTTTGATGTGTGGAAATAGCAGGCGCAGGGCAGGAAGAGCTTGCCTCTCACCTTGCCTGGTCTTGCCTCTCTCCTGGATGCAGCAATTCCAAGGGCTTCCGGTTCAGTGGAGTTGAAGCAGAGATTGTGACTTGGGCTTTTATTTTATTACACATTTTATTAATATTTGAAAGGTAGCTTATCTGAATAAAAATTATTAAGTTATTAGAAACAGTTTCTTTTTCTTTGGCACTTGGAACATGTTGTTCTAGTTTCTGGCTTTCATAATTCTGGTGCAAAGCCAGCTGTTACTCTTATTTCTTTTTCCTCAAATACACTGTGGCATTTTTCTTGGAATACTTTAAAAATTTCCCCTTTAACTTTGGCTTATTATTTTTTTTCAATTGATGGTGATGTGTCTATGATCTAGTTCATTTGTAGTGCTATGACAAAACACTTGAGATTTTATAAACAACAGAAATTTATTTCTTAGTGTTCTGGAGGCTTAGAAGGCTAAGATCAAGGTGCCAAGATGGATCTTTTCATGAATTTAGAGTCATATGACTTAATATTTTCTCTATTATGACTTAATAACATGGCAGTGAGGATTAAGTTTCAATGTGAATATTTTAGAAGATACATTTAGACCGTGGCAGTCTGGGAATGATTTTTCTTTTTTGGGATTTATTGAATTTTTTGAATATACAAATAGATGTTTTCTGCCAAATATGGAGTTTGGGGTCATTGTTTCATCAAATATTTTTTTATACTAATTAACCTTTTTCTTTCCCTAGAAGTCTAGTCATATATGTATGTTGAGGTGTTTTGTGTTATTTTACAGGTCTCTGAAACTATTTTTCTTTAAATTTTTATCTGTGCTGTGGTTAGGCAGTTTTAATAGATCTATATCAGTTTCATTTGCCATCTATAATCTGTTGCTTAGCCCTCCAAGAAATTTAATTATTTTACATTTTAGTTCTAGAATTTTTCTTTAATGATTTATTCATTAAAATTAATAATTTTAATTCTTTGAATATATTTAACAAACTATTTTGACGTCATTATCTACTAATGTCTATTTAAGTCAGTTATACTGAATACTTTTTTCAGATTATGGATTGTATTTTTCAGTTTTTTGCATGCATAGTGGTTTTGGTAATTAGTCATTGCAAATATATTGCAGAAACAAAATTGCTTTGTGTTTTCTGAGAAGCTTTTTATTTTGTTCTAGTAGGCATTTAACTTGCCTAGCTCACACTGAAAACACTGGAAACTTTGTCTCCTTTGTGACTTGTGGCTGCTGATTTATATTTGTATGGCCTTTTGTGATGGCTTCTTTCACCTGGCTCTGCAGAAGCCTGCAAAACTGGTAGCCAAACAAAGCTTTAGACATTGATGCCTAAAGCTGTCTATCTTCTCCTTCTTTTGCTGGTTTTGGGTTTTGTACTCAAATGGTTGTGCTTCAGCTTTTTGTCACTTGAGCTGCCCAAACTGAGCAATAGCTTTGGTTAAAGTGAGTGCCAAACCCACCGACTGATGCTGTATATGTCTACTGTTCAAGAGTGGAGGTCTGTCTGGTCTCTGACTTCTTTTAATGCTGGGTCCTTTGAGGTCTTCTTCATTCATGTGTAGTTTGTTAGCTATAAGCCAGGGATTTAGGGATTTCAGGCCCTTCATTTGTAGGTCATTCATCCTGTGGTTCTCATGTTGTTCCTCATTGGATTTCTGCTACTTTTCAAGTCCTGATTTCTAATATTTGACGCATTTATCTGGCCAGGCTATAATTTCTCCAACCAGTATTTTCTGCAGCCATGGATTAGAATTAGATTCTATGGATAGTAAGCTGGAAACTCACAGGCTTTATCTATTTACCTATTTCAGTTACAGTTTTCTGAAATTAAATTTTTTTTCTGACTTCTGAGCTTTTGTATGCCTTGTGGTATCTTTGAATATTTAAAAAATTTTGGTCTTACATAATTCTCATACGTAAAGATTTACATAATCACTTCATTCTACCACCAGTATCTGAGATGGATTCTGTGCAAGTCTAGATCATAGAATTTTATGTATGATCTTTTCTCCCCGTATCTTTTGGTTGAGAGAGGAATAAATTTACATGAACTTAAAAATAGTTGCTATTAGCAGCATGTAGGTAAGTTAATAAAAAAGTAAGTTAGATGATAGGTAGATATATTTTACAGTATTTTACTTATTTAACTTACTGACATTCACTTGTATAGCTTTTCATCACTGTGATGAAATACCTGACCCAGACTAACTTTATGAGGTAGAGAGGTTTATTTACTCACTTTAGTCCAATCAGCATAGTGCAGGCTCTAGTGAGCACCTCACGGCAGACAGCAGAGCACAGAAGGGAGGAACGATCACATCTGGAATAGGAAACTAGGGGTGGGTAGGGTGGGGTCAGGCTTGCTCTTTTTATAAGAATTTTCTTTTGAGAACTACCAAGTAGTCTCACAAGAACCACTTTAAGCTTTCCAAGGGCAGTGGTCTCAGCAGGACCTGAGGATCTCCCACATGGCCCCACCTTTTAAAGGTACCATTGTCTCCCAACAGCGCCACCTTCAGGACCAAGCTTCTAATGCATAGACCCCTGCGTCTACATCCATTCCACAGCATTTGTGAAGACTTGTGTAACAGACAGTGGGAAGGGTTTTTAGTTCTCAAATTGGAAGCAATTAGTGATGTTTCTTCAGCTTTGGTCTGTCTTGGAGCTGGTCAGTATTGTTCTAAAATATGGGCAGTGCTTCTCAGCTTTTTGGTAGTACAGCTTCTCATCACTAGTTTAGACCCATGTGATTCAGAATATCTGTTAATTTAGTTTGAATTTGCCTGAAGGCTATAGTTTTATTTTGTGGAGAAAGCAAAAAGTACAAATTCAGGCCAGGTTGTATCTACTGAAGGGTGTTTGAATGTCTCCGATCTATGATGGTTCAGCTTACCTTTAAAAAGTTTTTATGATAATATGAAAAGGATATACATTCAGTAGAAATTGTACTTTGACTTTTGGTCTCTTTCTAAGTGAGTGATATCAGTATACTACTCCCTTGTAATGATGTTTACTGGCAGTGAGTCACAGCTCCTCGCCAACCAAACCACCTGTGATAGTAACTATTGCTATTACATTTGGCAGGGTCAGTGTAGATGGTGCATTTCTTCCTTATGATATTTTCAAACTCATGATGGATTTTCTGGGGGTCATCACGCCATCGTTTAAGTTGAGGAGCACCTGTGCACTGTTTCCAAGCACCTCTGCACATGCATTTTTGTGTCTATGAGATTTTAAACATAATTTAAAAAATTATAATAGACTGAAATTGGCTTTGGGAGAGCATAGAGAACTGTACAATTTCTGTAAATTTCAATGCATATGTCATTTCATGTAACCACAGTAAAAATGAACATAAACTATAGTTTCATCATCTGCCCCCAACCTTTATGTTATTCTTTTATAGTCACTGTCACCCTTATCCTACATTATGCCTGGCCACCACTGTTCATTTCTCATCACTGCTCTTTTGTCTTTTCTAGACTACCATATAAATGGAGCTGGACAGTTTTTAGCTTTTTGCGGCTGGCATCTTTTACTCGGCATGATGCCT